CTGAGTTCTTCATAAAGTTAAGCTTTGTATTCATGCATTGCATGAAACTGTTCCTGTGCCTTGCACAACTGATATTTTCTTACACTTTTTTTTTTTTGTTTTCTATCCTCTTTGTCCATGGGATAAAACTTAAAATAAGGTGTATGATTCAGGTCCATGTAATGACAGACAGTTTGGTCTCTGCCACCTACATATGGATGCTCAAAGCTGTCTGGGGTGCTCTACAGTGTCTGAAAAGTTTTCTCATGTATTTTATCTGAGATAAAACTTGCAGAAACCCCTTGCCATTGAGACTGACAAGCTAGACCCCAAAGAGGACATCAAAACCATCACTGAGGATGAGATTCAATAGTCCTAACAGAAGTCTGTGGAACCATTTTAAACAGATGTATCCTGTCCTTTGGGCTTGTTTTAGACAACTAACCAGTGCCCCAGCTGTCTTCGCATTTAATTCCTTATGTAAATTAAATATTCTTTGATTACTGACCAGCAGTTAGTCTTTGGCTTATATATTATCCCTTTAAAAGTCTACATCTGAATTCATTCAGTGACACTTGAAAAAACAAGTTGGAGCTTTTGAACACATCCGAGAACTGCCAGTACACCAATTGGCAGAGTACCCTGTATATCACACGGTTTAGCACAGCTGTCTCCCGTATCTGTTACTTATGTATGCGATTCACTACCCTGTCAGAAGTTGCTTTAAACCAACCAACCTCATCATTGGAAGTTGTAGATGCACTAACTTGGAATAAGGCTTTGTCTTGCTCAGTTAAAAACATCATGAGATATAACTGAATAATGTAATTGAACTATAAAATATGAATTCATATATAGATTTGAACTCCAAATTTCCTCTTGATTTGGGGAGTCTTCTCATGCTTTTTTGGTTTAGTTTATCATTATTGCTCTGTATTTTTTTTCAGGGAATTATCAGATCACATGTAGTTATTTGTGTCTTGGTAAACTACCAATATTATACTGAGGTAAGGGTATTCATCTGCAAAGTGTGTATAATAATACCATGAAGGTATTAGCTAGTAAATGGATTTATTAATGGCAGTAAAGCCCTTGCAAAATTGGAGGGAAAAAAAACATCTTCAAATTTTAAATACATTCTGACAAGCTTTACTGCACCTTTCTGGAGAGAGATGCTGAAAATGACATAATGGATAAAATGAAGATAGAAACCTTCAATTACATTAAAAGTAGTCCTGTGAAGGCAAAGTTCTGTCAAGATCTTCAAGGTCAGCATAAATTCAGAGTGAAATATTTGAAGTAAGCCAGGTGTACTCCACTGCTTGAAGTGCTCCTGCATTCCAGAGCAGTAAGGTGACTAAAAGGAAAGTTGGACACAGAGGTTTGGAAAGCCAAAAACCTCCCTAGAGATGAATCTGGCAAGGTATGTGAAGAAACATTTCTGCAAGAGTAGCTGGAGCAGCAGCAAGTTGAGGGAAAATGTCATGGTGAATGAGGGCAGGGGACCTGGTAACAGAGGGGATTTACCCCTGGTGGAGGAGGAGTAGGTTGGGGAGTGTTTAAACAGACTGGGCAAACACAAGCCCATGGGCTGTGACAGGGTGCACCTACAAACTCACAACATCATTATGAAGCCACTCTTGGTAATCTTTGAAAAGTTATAGTGGCTGTGTGAGTTTCCTGAGGACTGGAAGAAAGCAAATGTCACTCCTATCTTCAAGGGAGGAAGATCTAGGGAATACAAGCTAGCCAGGCTCACCACAGTCCCTGTGTACATGATGAAGTAAATCCTGGATACACTTTCCCTGACCAGCTTTCTACATTGAGATTACTAGCTCAGTGGAGGAGGAGAAAGATGTGAATATGATTTATTCTTTAGAAAGAATATCAGTACTTTCTCCCCTTACATGCTCAAATACAAACTGCTGAAGAATTGGCTACTGGAGTGGATGGTCAGGTGAAAACTCCTTGAACTGTTGGGCTGCAATCAGAACAACTGGTCACTAACATGCTGGGATGAGTGGCACAAAGTCCATCTTGAGGATGATCTAGCCTGGCTGTTCTACCTTGCCACCAGTAGGACTCATGGATGTAGGGTACCAGTGCCATTCTGTGCCAGCCTGAGCTCAGCTGTCCCCAGAGCAGTGCTCCTGTGGCCTGTGACACCAGTGCCCATCTCAGAATGATGCTGCAGCCCAGTGGCATTGCTGCAGATTGAGGTAGGTTGTAAGAAGGTAGTCAAAGCAGATTCTGCAAGTCTAGGTCTTGAAGGCAGATGGATCTGTGTGGAGTCTGTAATAAGATAACAGTTTTCTTTCTGTGTGCTGTTGGTGAGTAATGGCCTTGAGTGTAGTCTCTGGGCCTGCATTTGCAATCTAGTGTATAAAGAGAGAGACTGTCAGCCTCTATCTCTCTGCTGGATCTGTGTAGAGAGAAAGCTTTAAAAGATTCACAACAGAGGCTAAATTTGTGGTCAAGTGTTAGCTCAAAATACATTCCCAGTGCCTGTATCTATTCCTTAAGTTGTGAAATTCCCTGAAGTCTGTCTTATTCCTTCAGATTTGTCCTTTGCCTGCCTGAACTCCAGTGGCATAGAAATAATCCCATTAGTATTTATTGCATTTGCAGCCTGCTATGAGCTCTCTGAGTTTTGTCATTAATTCTTTTAGGTGCAAAATGCCAAGCAAAAAAAGAAACACGCTTCACAGGGGAATTGCCTAAATCGAGGGATTCAAATCAGCACAAAATAAGAAACTGACTGGTGATCAATCTCATGTTACAATTTCAAGGACATCCTAGGTATAAGACGTTGTTATCCTTGCTCCCCATAAGGATGATGTAGTTGTTGCTTGCCTCAAGGAGACATTGCATAGAAAGTGTTGCCAGTTCTTAATGAATTCCTTCTAGTGTTGGAATAGTGGCCAAGCACCCTCAGGCCCTCAGTGCTGCTGACCTCTGGAGAATGGCACCCATTTGCTTTACTACCTCACCAAGAATCACTTTCAAACCTAGATTTATTTCTTTTCTTACCAAAAAACCAACAAAACCAACAAAACCACAAAAACATGCACCCCTCAAACAAAACAACTCCTGCTGGTGATAATGTATTCCAGTTTCCTGAGGATTCTGAAATGTGTATTACATCCTACTGGCCTCTGACTCTGCTTGGGCCTGAAAATACTTCATAAGCTTCCTTTAGTTCAAACTACAGTGGTATTTTCACACATGCACAGAAGTAGAAACCACTCCTTCTAATGAAGGAGTGATAACTAACCTAAAATGGATCCTGACTCGGAGTAAAATAATTACCAACCTGTTGTACAGATTCAGCATTGGAGCTTCCTACCATTCATTCACAATGACTTGTTCAGTGAAAACTATCTCGTGGCTTAACTCACAGCTGATTGTGTTTCAGCAATGTTCTATGAAGACACATTCAGTGTATCTGGATAAGCCTGAGTGAAGATTTGCACCTAATTTGCTGTAAATAATGTGTATTACCTCTACTGCAGACAAGTGCAAATTCACTACAAGTTTATACCTGGAAAAAATAATTGCAGCTCCTTAAAAGATTTTGATAGCCTCTTGTGCAGTGACAGGCACCCAGGATTGTGTGATCATTAAACATGATTTGTGGGGTGACTGTGCTACCTTGGTTCACACCCCCTTCAGTATGGGCTCATTTGTTCATTTTGGCCACAGCTCCTCTCATCTGTTCTTGTGGGGATAGGATTATTTAGTTAGCAGAACCTAAACATTCCAAAATCTCTTCTGAATTTCAGTGTTTGGAGGTAATCAGTTCAGAATAGATTTTAATCTCTGAACACAGCTCTTAAGGCCCAACAAGCAATTTTCATCAGGTTGTATGAGTGTACGATTGCTGCTTAAAATGTTTAAAACATGCATAATAAATAATAAATAATCTTCTCTGTACGCTGGGGGACAAGGAGAATTAGATCAGTAAAACTTTGTCCTTGACATTGGTAAAGTTGTGGTTTGCAGTGCTGGAAAAGAAAATGCTATTGTGACTGAAACAATAAAACAACAGCTGGAGAAGGAAGACAAAAAACCTGAGACAACACTCATAAGTTTGAAGCCCACACTTTTTCTAAGCTAATTGCAGATAGGGAATGATGCCCATCACAGAAGAGCAACAGAAGAAAGCAGCTGGGCAGGCCAGGAGGACATGCCTTATGCCTCATCACTTGGCATGAATTACACTCAACATGCTTGGTTTGTTTTGGGTTTTTGTTTTATTGGGGTGGGTTGGTTTTTTTTGTTGTTTTTTTGTTTTTTTTCATTTGAATGTAAGTTTTGAAAGAGTTGGTAAGGAAAAGACAAAGATGTTGCCTTATCTCAGATATAAATCCATGACTAAACTATCAACAAAAAACCAAATAGGGTTAGAATCAAATGAATGAACCTGTGACTTTGAATTTGAGAAACTATTTTGATTCTCATCATTCACCAAAGTGTCTCCACTGATGTTTTTTTGGCAACTGGTTAGTCTACAAGAAATAGACAGGTAATATCTGTAGCTAGGCTGAGCCTACAGCCTTAATAATCTACAGTCTTCCCTTACAGAAGTGCCTAAGTATGTTCATTTACCTCTGTTCTTCACAGAATAAATAGAATCAGGCTTATTTTATTACTTTCGTATTTCTTGCTTCACTGAAGCCTCACTGAGCTAATGGTACTTTAATTCTTATTGCACTTTACCTACGTATTGTCTATTGATCAGTCAACACATCTGAGGACAGTCCAGTACTCTTCATAGGACACATGGGTTAACATGGGTTATTTTTGACAGGAACTCTTGCATTTACTCAGATGTGAATGTGGCAGGATCTCTGCTGCCTCTCTGAGATCCTCTCTATTGCATTCTACTGCCCGAGGGAAAGTTCCCCTTGAAAAACCTTCTGAAACCAAACAAATGAGGTCACAAAATTCAAACCCTTGGGCATTGCATTCTATTGACATCACTATTTTTTTTTCTTTTATTTTAATTTTTGTTATTGCAGGATTTCCAGCAGGAGAACTTCAAAAGCCTTTCTTTTGGGGAACAGAGTATCCTAGGTAAGTACTGCACCAGGGAACCTCATCCACCTAGAACTGAGGAGTACCAGGGAAAGGTGCTGCAAACACATCTAGACAAAGCAGAGGGTGTGGAGAAGGCTGTGATTCCGAAGGAAACTGAAATGTAGCACCTAGGAAAACTGCTGTCCTTCTGTAGGGCAAATTTGGCCCTTGGGTTGTTTCTTCTCTCCTGCTTTTGCTACTGGAAGAGCTGCCTTTGAGAAGTGCTGCTTTGTGCAATACTTCTTCTTACCCTTGGGAGCCATATGTGTTGCTGTTGTCTTAAACTGATGACTAATTTCTCACAGGAATTGCTAATTAAGTGCACCCAAGTGGAAGGGTTTCAATGCTACAGCACACAGATGCAGCAATGTGCACATGGCAGGTATTAAAAGGAATTGTAAATCAGATAACTAACACTTCCTAAACAGAAGTAAATACCCTGAGAAGCCAATTATTATCAGTTTATTGTTCACTTTCTGCTATTATCCAAGATTAGCAGTGGGCCCTTGTCTGTGCCTGTCGAGGTACATGAGAATCTCTTCATGTGCATAAGTGATTTTCTGAGATTGCTTGAGCAGGCCCATGTACCAATGTAGCTGAGGAAGGGTAATTATAGGTCACATATATTAAATTTTGAAAAATCACTGCTTTTGTGCAGCTCAATAGCTTTCTATTTTAGGGAAGAATAAGACCATGAAAAGTTTCTGATGGCAGTTTCTGAAAGTTATTTTGCAGTTATATAAAACCAGTTACTGGTGAAATATATCCTTAATAAATCTTTGTTAAAAAAAAATCAAACTTTTCGATCATTTTGTGTTTGCCCTCATCCAATCTGGACTGTGTCCTTGTAAACAGGAAATTTGGCAATATATGTAGAAAGACACGTTCAATTTAAGAACAAATTAATTTGTATTCAAAGAGAATTCTTGTGGGCCAGGTGACTTTGCAAGTGTTAATTGGGGATAGAAGAAAGTCCTTTTTTGTTAAGGCGAACTTATTTTCTGTTACAGTTATTGCAGATCTGTTTCCAGCTTTGCTTTCTGAAGAGATTTCTCTGTATCCTGACCTTCTGCCATAGTGATAAAATTGTGGTTCTTTCAAAGCATTATACTCTGCTCATTTCTCTTCTTTAAAGGTTACCTTAGCTTAAATTGGTTTTGCTTGAGTAAGTATCAAAATGAAATTTAGTAAACAAATGTAGCTGGATTATATCAGACAACAGATTGCTTTTGTCCTTGAAATATTCTAGATGTTTTCTATCTGCTTAGAAGAAACTACATGGCAGTGGAACTGATAAACCATCCAAAAGTCACTAGTGCTTGCTGAAAAACTGACTTAGCAAATAGTTAACATTTAGTGACATTTTAGTGTCCAGCTCCAGAACAACCACCGAAACCAAATTACTCCATTTGCATGAAGTGAAGCTTAGCTGTCACTTTTACATCTCAATACATTAAATAAAATATCATTGAAATGCCATAGTTCACAGTTGTGATTCTTCAGTGCCAGGTATATTGAAGCAGAGACTTCAAACTACCTGACCTCATAGCTTACAGGTCTCTGAGCCTCCCCAGTCCCAGAAAGTTCCCCTTCAACATGGAATCTGCTGGACTGCACTTATCCCTTCCGTCTCTGTCCAACTATGCCCAGAAGTAAAAAACATGAATATGACTGGGAAAATTTCTGGAAAAAAATGTTGTCAAGCTGGACAAAATGCTGAGTTGGAGTTCACAGGTTCAAAGGCCAAAATTCACTGCAACCTTATCCACATCTTTTGAAGCTAAGGAAAGCTGTAGGAGTGCCAGAACACCAGCCTGTTCTTTGTCCTGTCACTCATGGTAGCAAAGTACCTTAGAGGAGAAATAAGATGTATTTAGTAATAGGGCTTGTTGCTTCTCAATCTCTTTACATGTTTTGTGCCATTATTTTTATACTTCTCCAGCTGTAAAAGATCCTGTATAACCCCTCTACTTCAGATATGTAAAACAAGTCTTACATAGTACATTAATTAGGAGTAATTATCACTGTGTGCTACACAAAATTACAACTTTGTCACACAAAAGGATGATATTTCCATTGCTGAAACATATAATTTTAACCTGCATTTTTTGGCGATGGTTTGTAACAGTACTTGGGCTAAAAAGCAGTAGGGGAGATTTTGACACATGCAAAGTACCATTTAGGAAAGAAAAAAAAAATGGAGGATTTTCATGGGAGCAGAGGGAATTAAATGATATAATTCTTTTTGGACATAACTGAGATGAGCAATTAGTGCACTATGGATCATTAGGTCCAATAATACGTTGTTTCAAAACCCTCTGCCTTTCTTCCATTTCAGTAAGATGTATTAGAAATACTACAAGCTACTTCAAAGTATAACATCTCAAGAACTGAAATAATTAAAATCACAAAAAGCAACTCAATGAAAGACAGTTGCATTGAATTAAACACCTACCCTCATGAAATCCACTGTATTTAGTGTAAAAAAGCCTTGAACTTTTCCCACTTTCATCCCTATTTCTCCTAAAAGCAGAATTATTGGGATATAATAATGAAGATATAATTAATTGCCAATCAGGAATACAAAGTATTTATTTTTACTTTGTTTTCTCGGTACATTAGATCTGACTATATATCATGCCCTATTTTAGAGTAGGTGCAAGGGTATTATATGACCTTTCTTTTTAAAACTAAATGGAGATTTGTTAATGCTTTACAAAATACAGTCTCTGCTTCAGAGTAGTTACAGCTGTAACTTTGTCCTGTTCCCAGCCAGGATATCCAGAATGCCATCAGCTGAAGATGTTTTGGAGCTCATATGATGCTGTTAAGGGATTTGGTTGGAAGAGTGAACTACCACAATGCTTTCAAAGTTTTAGACTAAATGTTTCTTTTAAATAAGAGTTTAACATTAAGACTTTCAACATCTTTAAGTCAAAATTGTGTAGGTCTGATCTTTATACCCATATCCCCTGCCTCCTCACCCTCTTTTTATATCAATAATGATCTTTCCAGAGGTCTTCTGTCCTTTAACGTTCATGACTGTGAACACTTTCTGAGGAAACTTTCTTTGTATTGCAGGTCCTTAAGTTATGGTGCCATAGGAGTGATTGTTGGCCATGAGTTTACTCATGGATTCGACAGCAATGGTGAGTATTTGACTGCATTTTGATAACTTTTTTATTTACAGAGTTGACAGATTAGAAAGCTGACTTGTACATGCTGTAGCATTTATAGTTTTGGGGTTTTAATGGTGCTGAGTTTGTGTGAAAAAATTATAAATTTGTATTTGTTAGATTTATTTGTATGGAATCTTGCTTGTCTGATTTGGATTTTATTTAGTAAAAAATACCACAGTTTTGATTCTTTTTTTGTCTTGAATGAAAACTAAATCAGCAACAGATTCTGAAACTCCTAACAGGGGGAAGGGGGGAGTGGGAAGGGTAAAAGGATAATTTCTGGTTGATAAAAATTACTTCCAAGAAAACTTTTCATTTCAGGTTTGACATTTTTCAAAAGAGAATTGCAAAAGTTTTAAAATACAACACTGGAACAAGAGTGGTACAGAAAAGGTGTTGCAAAGTATAAAAATTAAATTCAAAAAAAAGAGAGAGGGGAAAAAATGGTCAGAAAATGTCAATCCAGTTGTCCTGACAAACTGGGTGGAGTGGAGCATTGCCACTACCTAGGTTTGGTTGTCTCAGCAAAGTGCTTTTAAAAACTGGGCTCCTGAGAGAAAGTGAAGGGAGAGAGGGGAGGAGGGAGGTGCAGGGAGAAAGGAACTGGAACCTCCTCCTCCAGGAGGAGGAGTTTACTTGGGTTGTGTAATATTGAACACCTAAAAAACAAAAAACACCCAAAAAACTCAAAAAATAAAAACCAAAAAGGAAACAAAACAAAACCCCAACCAAACAAAGAAACCAACAATGAAACAAGAAGAAAAACCCATGATGTATCCTGTTTTCATGCTCCCCAATGCTTTGTGTCAGAAAACACTCCAGAATGTCCAGAAAGATATTTTTCTTCATGAACTCCTCCCATGTGTAGGTGAGCACCTAATCTCCTCCACCTTGTCTCCTGCCCCTCAGAAAGGAACCTAAGATTTGATTCCCTAAGCAGACCCCTCCCTCTTTCCAGGGTCTACCTTCCAAATATAGAAATAAATACATCTCTAGGGAATTTGTCACCTTGAACAAGACAATACACAGAGGAAAAAAAAATAAATACAAAGATTAAACAAAACGCCTTCAGTACTTGGTGTTATGTCTGTGTTGCTCCTTACCTCTCTCTCCTGCAGCTGCAGAGAGGAATCAAATCACAGAGCAAGGCTGCATCTGCATGGGCAGCTAAACATACTCTCAGAAAAGTGCCAACATGTCTTGTGTCTGACTGGCTGGAGATTCAATACTGTCCTACAAATGATAGGGAGCAGGGACCTGAGGCTGAAAGAAGCCACTGCTGTAACCACCAGCCTGGGCAATGGGATGTATGTATTCCCACTGTTTTCATGAGTTCTGGTTTTGCTCCAAAATAAGAAATGGAAACTTCAGAAGTTTGCATGAAATGGACTTTTTCCTGATCAAGTGAAGAATTAATAATAAATTAGTTATCATCGTATTTTCAGAATGAAAGACATATGGTCTGAGGATGAAAAGTACAATTATACTTGCAAGAAAGCTAAGTGCCTCTTACACTATGTAATTATAAAATGTACTATAGAACTCATTAGTCATTACTATCTTTTTCTGCAAATGGAAATTATAACAATAGATAGAATGCCAGCTTTTCACTGTTGATTTGAATGGGGTCAAGATTATGCTCACTGATCCTGTACACACTGTACACACACTTCCATGAGAACATTCACCTCACATTTCTCTGAAGGTGATATATTCCTAAACTGTAAAAGTTTTCTCCTGCAAAAACATTTGTTTTCTTTCTTTTCTTTTTGAGGTCGGAAATACGACAAAAGCGGAAATCTAAACCCTTGGTGGACGACTGACTCTGAAGAAAAATTTAAAGAGAAGACAAAATGCATGATTGACCAATACAACAATTACTACTGGAAACAGGCTGGCTCACATGTATGTAAACCACTAGAGGCTGAAAACAGTGGTACATGGGGAGCTCAGGTTGTTGTGCTATTTTTCTTTTTTTGAAGTTCTCTTTTTATAAATCCCAATGTATTGGGATATTAGGCTACCAACTTCATTTCTCACAACAAATGATTTTTTGAGGTGAATAATTGTGTTAAAAATTGTCTGTCAGGTTTGATTAGTCCAGTCAAATACTACTACCCACACTCTAGTGACAGGGTTAAACCATTTCTTGCCATCACATCATTTTGGAATCAGAGGAAGAGGATGAAGCCACTCAGCAGGGCTGCTCTAACTATTGTGAGCATGTTAAATGCCTTCTGAAGATGAGGTCTGTAATGAAAACTGAGCAGTCACTCTTTTAGAAAGAATGTAATAGCATGTTTTATAGATTCCTTTGACAATTCTGCCTGTTATTTATCGCAGCTATAAAATGGATGCAAAAGCCCTACTTTATTTCAGATTCAACTCTTGCTATTTCTTCCATGTGTGCACACAGACCCCATTTGTATGTTTAATCAAGGGAATATGACAGTAGTAGCTCCTAGAAAGAGATTGAGAAACAAAGTCCAAGGGAATTGTTTCTGTTTTATTGTCTATCAGGTATGGGCTTTTCTGAAAATATGTACATTCATATGTGTGTCCAAAATGAGGATAAACAGGATACATCCCAGACCTTCAGAAATTAATAGCTGAAATTCCAGTAATGTTGTCTGGGACATAATTTTAATCTTAGTTTCCAGGATAAAACACACACTCCAGTCCTCACCCAATTATAACCCCTCTACCTACATTTTAGAAATACCAGTACATCTTTGATTTTAAGAATAGTGAGGCCCCATGAAATGCTGATCAACAGTTCTAGAACTTTTCCCCAGCTTGTTTTGTGCTGATCTCAGACCATATTATGATTCAGTCTGAAGTCCAGCAACTCAGACTTGGAAGTATTTCATAACAAGCTAATTTGCAAATAAAAATTCTCAGGCTTATTTCTGAATATTTCTGGGACAAAAACTGTCATTATAAAAATGGCACCCAAAGAAAATCATTAAAATTTTCCCCAAGGATGTGGCTGAGCTCTTCCCGTGCCTTGGCCATTGGCTTGGCCATCCCCTTTCCCTTTTGCACTGTCTCTTGAGATGAGGTAGGTCTGAATTTCCTCTCAGTGTAGAAACTGCCTTTGAAGTCCATGGATGGGTTTACTAGAGAGATCCTTTTACCCACAGCCTTGTCATGCCATTCCTTCTATACCCACAGGATAATCAAAAGCACTTTTTAGATGACAGAAGATTTTTCCAATTTTCTGACATATTTTAGAGATATTGTATGAAGAGCTATGCAAGCAAAGACCTTTTTTATTATCATTTTGGCCTGTCATTTACATCAATACTCTGCAGGCTTTTTACCCTTGTATGAATATTTTTTATGGATCAAGAAACCTATTTATTCTTCTTCCTTCTCATCTGGTATACAATAAAAATATCTCCAGAAAAGAAGCCTAATGAAAGGAAAAGTGGATATAGAAACAGCTTCAGAGTGCAATAATCACATAAAGTCATCTCATCAAATAAAGGGCTTATCATGGTCCCTGATCCCTGCCACAAATTCTCTGTGCAGAATAGTCTCAAATACCATTTCCAGAGCTGCCTGAGATCAGCAGAAAGAATTTTTACACTTTTTAGATGACCTGTGGCCCTGTGTGGACCTGTACCCTGATCTTATGCTCCAAGTCAGCCTCCTTCACAAGCCCAGTGCAAGTAAAATGTGTAAGCAGGAAGGCCAGGGAAAAAGGCAGCTGATGTGCTTGTCCGTTCCCTGGTGTCCCAGCACCTTTTGTCCTAAAAGCTTCTCTTTCACCTCCATCTCCATCCTCCTGAGTGCAGGGGAGAGCTAACAGAAAAGGGTTGTACTTTCCTCCATGGCTCCCATTTTTCCCATTAAGCTGTACCCAAGGCATCAAGTAAGATGTCCTGAGTCCAGTTTGGGTGCTCATCTTCACTGAGTGTGGGGCTGTGCACAAGTACCTTGGTGCTTTTGCCTCTTCCTCTCTGTTTTCCTCTCTTTTTCCATCCTGAAAGTGAGTAATGATGCCAACCCCACTGTACTGATCCCTGTGGCACGGGAGAGCTGATGGCTGCAGTGCCATTGACCTTCAGAGCCCTGCTCAAAACTGCTCAATTATCTTGCTTATTTGAGGCACAGGAGAGAGTAAAACGGCTTAATTACAAATACAGTTGGTAACACAAGGACCTTAGTAGGCTGGGTGAGTAGAGATAATGCTACTCCAGCAGAAATTAGGATTTCTTTGTAATGATGTTGCACTTGGTAATGCCAGGAGACCAGTTTCCTCACAAAGTGTATATAGTGCAGTTTCCTACATACATTCTTGTTGCTATTGCTCCTGCTCTTGGAATCAATACCCAGGAGAAGCAACAGGAATCTCCTTTGCAGATATTTTTAGAGCACTGAATACACTACCAATTTTGATTCTGTCTCTGACAGTTATTTTTAATTATGCTTATTTATGTTATGACATAGAAGTTATTTTAGCATCCCAGTAGTACATTAAGAGTTATGTAGAGAAATAAATATAGCCTTTTAGATAAAAGTTCAAGAGGCTACTGGATCTTACATGTCACCAGATATAAACAGTCCTTTGGGGAAAATTACTGACACTCAGCTCAAAGATCAGGGACTGGATTCTTAAGTGCATTCTATCTACTGTATTTTGTGCTACAGAAATCTTATGGCCAGAGCCAGGATAACTCATCACAGAAAATAGTTTACTGGCAGTTTTCTCATGAAAACCCAGTTTTCTTAACCAAAGTTGGTTGATATTGACTGAGGTTGTTCTTGCCTTGTTTTACTTTCCACCCTCTTTTTGAAGTTGATCGAGTAGCAAGTTCAGAAATGGGTCAAATGACTGATGTTCTTTCATTTTGCCAAGGTGAAAGGGAAGAGAACTTTGGCAGAAAACATTGCAGATAATGGAGGTTTGCGAGAAGCTTTCAGGGTAAGTAGATGGAAAATATCTGAAACGTTGCATTATTAGAAAAATAAAAGAAAAAAAAAGAAGCTGTAGTTATATTCATGTTGCTGAAAGGCACTTAGTATCTCTTTCTTATCAGGCATACAGGAAATGGATTGCAGAAAAAAGGGGAGGAGAAGAAGAGCCTTTACTGCCAGGCCTTGAGTTCACACATAACCAGCTTTTCTTTCTGAGTTATGCCCATGTGAGTAGTACAAATGTGTTTCAAATCCCCATCTATTAACCTGAACTATGTGCAGTGCAGAAACGAGCTTCCTTGGTTTCAGCAATCTGCATCACCCAAACACAGATTTTTGAGAGTATAAGCAGAGACTTCTTCCACAATTATTATTTCTTTCTCTTTCCCTCTTTGTCTTCAACTACTCATGGTACCTGAACTGCTGACATTATTCTTGGTTTTGCACAGCGTGTCACAGCAACTTTCCTTCTACTTCCCTCCACCAAAAGGGACTTCCTGCATGTATTGACTCCTCAGCCTCCCTTCAATTTTAACACCATTTGTTACTGACTACGTTGTTCAAGGAAACTAAGCAGCAGTGAAGAGTGTTAGTTTATTTTTTCCCATCTGTACACTAAATATGCTGTAACAAAACTTTGATAAGGGATGTGAGTTTTTTAGAAAAAACATTGAGCAAGGGACAGGATCAGAAATTATTTCTTTGGGTAAACAAAATGGGACAAACTCCCCACAAGAGAAGTAAAATACTATAAAACTTTGTCACCAGCTGAAGGAATGAATTATCCCAAACTGAAAAAACAGGAGTCCTGGTTAAAAGTAATTTCTCTGTTGAGAGTCAGCGTAGCAGTCTATTGGCCTGTGGCTGTTTCAGTTTGACTATACTGAATAAAGAAAATATTACACTTTCATTGTTTATGCTGAATTAAGTTTTGCCTTGTGCCAGTTTTTCTCCAAGAAAATTTTGAAGCTATAGGGAACACCTGGGGGTCTTACAGAACCACTTACATAACCACTGCAGGAATCCCTCGCAGGGAGGGCACATGCACAGTGAGAGCAGTGTATGCAAGGTACCCTTGAGCTCAGTCTATTTCCACAAAGCTCAAAACACTCAACAGACTTATTTAAAATGTCAGAACTGTGTTCAGCCAGACAAAATTGCACTGAAGCCCACTGAAATCCTATGGGCAATATGGCTTAAAGGATTTTGTTTATAGGAACATTTGATGTAGAGACTTAAGTAAGGTAGGGGAAGTTTAAAGGAAATTTTTCATGCAATAGATACAGCGTAAGATACAACAATTTGGTTGTGCAAATATTCAATCTACCCTGTTTTTTGGTCAGTTACAATTGGGTTAAATACCAGGAACAGGGAACTGGGGACCGTTGATGGAAATGTGGAAAATGTGTAATTTCAAAAGAAACTGACATTCCAACATGGCATAAATATGTCAGGTAATATAGCAGTAGTTCTAGAGATGGTAAGCATCATTATGTGTACCTTTTATACACATTACATAGTTTTGTGATCAAGAAGTGTGTTTGGTAATTGACAAGGTGTGAGATGCTGCAGCACAAGCTTAAATACAAGGTACCATTATAGAGAACTTCAAAAAAAGAACTAGTAAAAGTGACTGTGATTAGATGATGGGAAAGAGTGTGTAGAGAAAAAGCAGTGGGTGGACACTGGATCCATTAGGGGATTTGAAAAACAAGAGAATATACCAAGAGAAAACTGCAGATTGGCAAAGGTGAAACAAAGTAGGAATTTATGGTGTCTTTCCATTTTATGCATTCTTTAAGTCATAGGCATCTTAAGAACAGAACAGTGACATTACATTTTGCTTTACATAAAAAGTTATCCCAGATAATGTGCCTGTTTCTGGTTTTTTTTCATTTTATCAGGTAAGATGCAACTCCTTTAGACCGGAATCTGCGAGGGAGCAAATATATACTGGAGCTCACAGCCCTCCTCAGTTCAGGTAGTGTAAATAAGGTATTTCCTCAGTGTACACACAGAAATCAATCACTGCAGAACAGAAGTGCAGAAATACAGCATTTAAGAGGGGGTTAAGAGCAAAGACAAAATTGAACTGTGCTCTTGGTTTAGATGGAAATTTAACTGATTTTATTAGCTTATCTTTCACTATTACTAATGCTCTTCTGAAAAATTGAGGAGCTTGCATCTACCTTCAAAAGCATTTGAACCAGAACACACTCTGATCCCTGTGATGTCCTGTAATCATGGCCTGAGTATCTAAAAAGCCTCATCTATCACTTTCGTCCCCTAAGCAATTCTACTTTAGAAAACAGTGAATATAGAAAGGGTCTTTGATTTAATCTGAGTTCATTAAAAGCTCCTAATTCTTGACTTTGAATTACATTGATAATGCAAAGCAAAATGTGCTCTGTGAGTTCAGTCCAAGACCAAACTCTTCCACTGGCCTTCAAGTGACACTTTGCTTGAAGGAGCTATGGCAGTCCAGCCATACCAGAGGGAGTCTGCCCTTGCCTAAAGGCTTCCCACAGGCTCCCCTGTCCACAGACACTCATGAACTTACCATGGGAAGGGGAGAAGTTTTAGAGATTTTATAGGAATTAGGAAGCCAGAGTTTATTTTTCTGCTTCCTCACCAAGAACATGTTGGTTTTGTTGGGATTCAAGTTGGTTCCATTTAGTTAACCAAGAGTTCTGTGTTTGCTCTTGGCCAAGTACTACATTACCTCTTTATTTGGACAAAGGATGTTAACTTCACAACAACATTCACACAATACAGTGGATTATTTGCCTTCTAGAGAATCCTACCACTTTCTGTTGACTAAGAGTGTTATAGCAGCTAATGAGGGTAAAAGTAGTGAAGTATGCAAATCTGTGTGCCTTTTAACATTGAAAATACATCGTGACAATGAGAACAGGAGCAGCAGGCTGACCTTCAGCCTACAGAGATATTCTTTGCATAATTCCTATCCTTGTTAAGATTTTGGTGAAATAACCATCTGCTGTCTTTTAAAATCCTCAGGTTCATTTACCTATAGGTGTATTTATATTCTGAATCGTTACATAGCTACATTCCCATGAGATGGTGATACACATGGAACTCTAGGAATAGAGTATTTGTTAGGAAAACTCCTGAAGGCATCAGAGTATGAAAGAAAATTTAAGAGAGGTTTAGATTAATTTGAGATCTAGAAAATATAGACAAAACATTTCTTAGTTTTTGTGTGAGATACTGACAACTGGCTTCTGTTTCAGAACTGAAGAAAAGCATTGCTCTTTGTCTCCTGTTGCAAATCATATCAACTGGGCTAACAAATTATCAGTTTCTCCCTGCTTGGTTTCATTTATGTCCCAAGACCATTATAAGCACAACTGCAACACAGCTAGCTCCAACACTGACAGCTCTTTCTGTCCAAAAATCTCAAACAGCCCTCTTAAAAGTAATTATAAAAGGTAATAATAAAAATTTAGAAATGAACAACACATCTTGAACACAGGTGTGTGCATCTGAACTACTCTCACCAGTTTCTCTTCACAGTCAAAAAGGAAATGGCATTTTAGAAGTTAATATATATTTATAAATAATTTTTCAGCAGGTAATAAATTTAAATTACTTACTCTACAAATACATCTTTCTGTTGATCACCAAGGGAGGCCAGTGTGACCTGCTTAAGGAAAGGTGTCTCTACTATAATTCATAGGATGAAATCCAGACACACCAGTCTGATTTCAGTTAATGTGTGGCAATATCAAACTAAGGATAGAAAAGTGGCATGCATGCAGACATAAAGATTTTTTGACGGGATAAATTCTGGGTTTATTTCTTTTTAATTGGCAGATTTTCAGTATTAGCATGTGTCTTTGCTATTTTTGAATGCCAGTTTCAAATTTAAATCCCTGGCATGGCAGGCAGAACTCCCACCATCAGCAGCAGTTCTGCATGACCAGCTCTTGCTGCTCCAGTCCCTGAATACGTATCTGCAATTTTTTCTTACAGTAAAGCTGTATACCTTATTTGAAGCCTAACCTCATTTGGTAATCATTCCTACAAAACTGACCTTTAGGCTTTTTTGTGCCAGATGACTGCTAATTTTCTTACTCACAGAAAGTCTAATCAATGTAATAAGAATATTTTCTACCATGCTGAGCTACACTGAGAAGCTGATTGTCTGCAATATAGAAAAATGCCTCCTCACTGTATAACAAAGAAAAGGTATACAATTAATATCACAGTAGATATTTTTCTGCTTTTAAGTCAGAAAACTCTAATACCATTTCAAGTTTCAGGTTAGTAAATCCAAGATGATTAAAAGCATAGGAAAAAGCAGCAAACAGCACGATTGTAATCTAGCAATGGTAAAATAATAGTTTTTGACTGCATCAAATAATGCAGACATGAAAGCAGGAGCCAAAGATAACTGCATGAAAAGACCAAGCTCTTCCCCTAAGCCTGAAGGTGCCAGTCTGGAATGCAGACACATTGTCCAGCTTGTGTCAGGCAGGGATGTGCTGCTCGCTCAGTATCACACCACCTGCGGTAGAAGCAAGAGAACTCGGGAGCTGGTCACTGCAGAAGGCTCAGAAAATGTATTTCCAAAATATCAGAGGAGTTGAGAGGCTCACAGGTACAAGGTGAGCTGCCCAACAAGAGGCTGTAATTGCCCCCTGAGTCTGCAAAGTCCCAGGGACCCAGTGGGTGTGGGTGTGTGTGGGCAGAGTGTGTTGTTAGGAGAATCTGGAGCCACATGAAACCACTGCCAGCACAGCCCCAGTGTGTGCTTACGTCCTCCTGCTTGCTGCACTGCAGCTGTCTGGCAGGGCTGGAAGGATGCACAGCCACTGCTGATCTCCCACCTGTACTGCCAAGGGTTACATTAGAAAATTGCTCTAAAGGACACAGTACCAGAAAATGTGTTTGTTTTTCATTGAGTTTCTAAAAAAGCAAGGTGTTTCTCAAAGCATGAAACAGTATTTGCTTCATATTAAACTGGGAGCCCTTCTCCTGAACCTTTTGGTTTTATTTGTATAAAAAAAATTATATGAAAGCCTGAAAATTCAGCCTGAAGTGAAAACACTGAAACACTTGCAGACCTGTAGTGTTTGACAAAAGGCAACCTGCATGTCAATCACTTTTCTCTTTGCAGAGTAATCGGAGCCATGAGCAACTTTGAAGAGTTCCGCAAAGCTTTCAATTGCGCAGCGAACACGACGATGAACCGCGGGGCAGAGTCCTGCCGACTCTGGTAGCTGTCCAGCTCTCCTGCCAGGAGGAGGCTGCAATGTGAACTGCTCAGGCCCATTGCCAGAGTTTCAGAATGATGGTCTGAAATCTGGAGAGGTGTTACTTCAAATGCATCTTCTTCATCCTGATGCTCCTCATGCTGATGATCCGCATGGATCTGATCATTCCCTATTTAGAGCCTAGAAACATTCCAAATAGAAGAGCTTTTCTTTAAGTATAACAATAAAAAGTAACTCCTTTTAACCATAAAACTACTCTGGCTCATCTGCAGTTGCACTGCTGTTGATGGATAACTGCCATTATCAATTCTAATTCCTGATTTATAGTTGAGCAGGATGTAAATGCTAAAATCCAGTTTTAATCTATTGCTCTGCAGGGGTTCTATGCAGAATGCTCCCACACAAAATTTATTCTTTCTGGATGAAGAAATTCATGAGACCTGCTATAAAGCTAGCTCTGATCTGCTGCGTGATACTGCATTTTCATAACTTAAGCTGTCACAGCCCAGCATGCCATAAATGATGTTGCATGATGTAAAGACACAAGACTTCGTATAAGTTCAGTTTAATATGTCAGATTGGTGCCTCTGGATTTGGAAGAGTTTCAAACTGAGGAAGTATCTCATGGTATCCATCTGTAGGACTAAAACATAAAGGATACTTGTCAGATCCTGGCCTCTTCTAATTTTAGAACAGCTTTTGATAAAAATCAATGTATAGTGTAAATCAGAGGCTCTCAGAGGGGATTCCCAGCACCACAATACTCATAAATATTGCAGCATTTATTCCAGTTTACACTGTAGGCAGTTTTTTCCCAGGGGATGTTTTTTACCTTTTGCTGAAGATAGCTTCATCTGCATTTATTTTTTTTAAGCCAGAAATACTATACCAGTTTAAAATGATGGATTTTATAGTGTCTGGGTCTTACTTGGCATTTTAAGTAGCATGTGAATTTGCCCTCATGTTCTGGATGGGGCAGGATGACTTGTGATTTTAAGGTAAGGGTATGTGACAGAAAAACAGCGTACCAGCATAATTTGACTTGTCTGGATAAAAAGAGCAATTTAGGAGTAGAGGACTTAAAAATATAGTAAAAATACAGACCAGCTGAGTTTTCAATTTGATTTTTAAGAATATTCATGAAAAGATATTTTATTACAGCAGAAAAACTTTAAAAAATAACTATTATTGGGGTGGTGGGATGATGGGTGAGGGAGGATGCACACACAGCTCTTCTTGTTCCTTACAGAAAGGCACCTATGTAAGTGGCATGTATTTATGCCTTGTGCATTACTTCATTTTTACATGGTGGAGTTATTTCAAAAGGAGTTTCTTTAGACTGATTTAATTACTGCAAATCCATATTGGTCTCTGGGTGTATATACATATATACAAAATATGTATTTTTTGGTATGCTTTAATTTTATTTTGTCAGTATAGAAATGTTAGCAAGATAAACTTTTTTTTACAAGGATTTGTCAGGAAGTGTTGGATGAGAACTTGGTTGGACGGTCACATCCAGAGGGTGATGGACAATGACTCAGAGTTCCAATGGACATCAGTGACAAGTGGTGCCCCTCAGGGGTCCATACTGGCACCAGTGCCATTTAATGTCTTCCCCAGTGACATAGATAAAGGGATCAAGTGCGCCCTCAACAAGTTTGCAGATGGCACCAAGCTGAGTGGTGTGGTTGCCACACCTGAAGGATGGGATGCCATCTAATGGGACTTGGACAATGAGAATTGGCCCTTGGGAATCTCATGAGGTTTAACAAGATGAAGTGCAAGGGGTTGCACCCAGGTTTGGGAAACTCCTTGTATCAACAAAGTCTGGGGGTGATCCAGAGTAGCCCTGCCTAGAAGGGCTTAGGGATGCTGGTGAGTGAGAGGCTGGACATGACCCAGCAACAGGCATTTGCAGCCCAAAAAACCATGTCCTGAGCTTCATCCAAAGCACTATGGACAGCAGGTCAAGGGAAGGGAGAGGAGGCCACCAAGATGATTAGAGGGATGGAGCACCGCTCCTATGAGGAAAGGTTGTGAGCATTGGGATTGGTCAGCCTGGAGAAGGGAAGGCTTTGGTGTGGCTTAAATTTCAGCCTTCAGTACATGAAGAGAGCCTACAAGGAAAGGCTGAAGAGGGGCTTCTCACAAGGGCATGTAGTAACAGAACAAGGGGGAATGGCTGTAAACTGAGATTAATTTTGGATTAGATGCTAGGAGGAAGTTCTTTACTGTGACGGTGCTGAGGCACTGGAACAGACTGCCCAGAGAAGTTGTGGGTGCCTCATCCCTGGAAATGTTCAAGGTCATGTTGGATGGGGCTCTGAGCAAGCTGGTGGAAGTGCAAGGGGGTGTCCTCACTCATGGCACAGGGTTGAAATTAGATGATCTTTAAGGCCCCTTACAACCCAAATCATTCTATGAGTCTATGGTTGTCCAACAGTCATGGTGGAGGAAGGTTTACTGAAGCTAGCTAATGGAAACAAACTGGGTTATTTTCCTGTGTCTTTAAAAAGGAGTGGAACACAATGGAAACATAATTTATGGAAAAGGACATGATCTAAAGCTACCTTCCAGGAAGCAGACATTCCTGTTCTCAAGGCTGTGTTGCCACTTTTTAGTAACAAAATATTGTGATTTGGGACCAGAACATTTTTATCAATTTTTCCCTGAAAAAGTCAATGTTTTCTTAAGAGAAAAACATTTCCCCTACCTTCAGGCCAGCTCAGTTCCTGAGTTCCATGGATTAGAGTTTATCATTTGAATTGCCACTACTAAATTCTTTTTCTGGAGATATTTTTCACATAAATAGTGATGGCAGTATTTCCATAGAGCTTTTCCTCAAACAAGATTTTTGTGTCTTTAGCAAAGGGATACTGCTTGCTGGCTAATGGGAAAATTCCTTAGCAGATTGAGTATGTACTGACTTTATTCCTGTGCTCATATGAGCACTGACATGACTTGATGTTGACTGCTTTGGATCAAAGTTCAGGGTTGACATCCTGGACCAATTAAAGGTAGTACCAATATGGTTGTTGTCCTCAGAAAAATCAGGACGTCAACACAAGCACTTATCTGAATTTTCTAAATTACTGGAATGTGCAAAGACAGTTTCACAACAGTCAACCCTGGGTTTTCTAATTTTATCTCTCAAATCAGAGATGCATTTGCAAGAATTCCTCTCTCATGGTTATTTTCCAGTGGGACAGATTCTATCATTTTGTGATTTATGAAGTTGTTTCTCTGTCTGGATAGGATTTTTTTCTAAAATGTCTGATGTTTCTTGCCTTAAATGTCACTCTTCCCATTCCTTGTTAGTTTCAGGTCTTTCATGTTTAATATCAGGGATTTTTGCACGGTGGTATGTGAATTCCCACAGGAACCACTGCAAACTCTTTCATCCTTGCTAGGCCATCTCCTGCAGCAGCAGGGGACCAATTCTGGGCTGGGGAGGGATAGCAGGGAGCTGGGTGTTTTGAGGGCAATGCACTAGGAGAGAGGAAGAGAAGACATGACCAGATTTTGTACCCTGATTTTGGCAGCTGAGAGGATACCAACACACTGCCAGGGGGAAACCAGAAGTCCTTGCTGCTGGTACATTCATCAGTAGTATCCTAATTCAGGAAATTCTTGTTGTTGACTCAGGTTCTCAGTGTCTGGGGTTTAGGTCTTGCCTGTGTCCATACAAGGACCCTGGCCTGCCTCACCTGCTACTTTTTACCTCAAACCAAAGAGCTGGTCATGCAATTTACAGATCACTTTGGATAAGCTGCTTAGGTACCATTTGGAAAGCAAAGCAGAAGGTAATTAAACAAGTTCTTTAAACTTTAGTCATCAAAGACAGCCAAGACATTAGTGATGGTTGGTGAGGGCTCTGCCCATTGCCTTTTTTATAAGACCACCTGGCTGTGCTTTGTTTTTGCATTGTGCCTCCTGGGTCTGTGCCAGCAGTGCCTTCCTGCATTGCTCTCAGGTTCACTTATTACATCTATGCAAACAACTCCTTCACCATATATATCCTTTTCCCAGAGCTTTAAAATTGTTATTTTGCTTAAATGTCAGTAATACTGGGAAATGTTTCTTCCTGTTGGCTCAGTAGTCTACTTCAGTGACCAGGAGGGGAAACATCAGTTAAGAATGAAACATTTTTACCTTTGTAAATCTGAGGAGATATTTTTCTACTGTGTAGACGTAAACAAACAGCCTCTGCTCCTGTCCCATGTCTCCTTCTTTAGGTCCTAGAAATATGGAAACCTATTATATTCTAGTTAATCTAGTCTGGCTTTTTTGCTGGTTTTTTGTTTGTTTTTATTTTGTTTAAGCCTGAAATGCTAAAATACCAGTTTATATACTGTCAGTATTTCTGCTGATTGTATTGTGGAAAACTGAGCTGTCTGAAAAGGCAGCTGTGCTATTCACCTGCGTAAACTGCTTAGGTGCACAAATGGTGTCCAAGCTGGGTCTGGACACTGAAGGACCAAAAAACTCAGCTGAGTTATAAAACTCTGCTTCATGGCCTGTGCAGGGCACTGCACTGTTCTTTAAGTAGGAACACTATCATGTCACTAATTGGCTGAATAATTTATAAAATAATCAGGTGAGTCTGCATATAAATTTTCATTGAGTACTCTTCAGTTACAGGCTTGGAAGTATATCTCATAACAATGTTTTATATATATATATATATGCATGTGTCTGTCAGTGAAGTGTTAAAAACCTGACAACTCAGGAGGCAGAACTATAGTGATTTAAAAGGTCTTTTGTGTTTAAGTCTTTTTAATCTGATTTTTATTTACTGGTAAGTCTATTGTAAATTTGAATTTTTCTACTTGCATGGTACATTGGTTGACTATTTTAAGGACAATTGTGTTAGCCAATAAAGTCAAAGTGATGAAGAATTTTCCTATGTTTGCAGTATGGCAAAACCTGCTTGGCTTGGCGCTGTCCAACTCTACAATATTACTTCTATAACATATAGTCTTAATGAGATGTAATAAAGAGCATAATGATGTGGCCCCAGGTAGTCAAGACTACTTTTACTGCTTGATAGGCTAAGAAGGACCTCCTCTCTGACAGAGGATTGTATAGGCATCGTCAGACAGAGTTTAGGCTCCGCTTTCCCTCATTACCCTGCTGGAGGCGATTAAAATGAGCATTGATGAGTTATTGTGGGTGAGGGCTGGATGCTGTAAAAGCTGCAGAAGGGCAGAAAGAAAGAGTGAGAAAAGATTCACCTGCCTCTCAGCCTTGCTCTTCTCCTCTTCTCCAAGTCCAAGTGCCTCTCTCAGCTTTTCAGTGATTTAAGTGTATTCCAGAGGAGTTTTTGATAGGATAGTACTTGTGCTGTGCCTGAGTTCGAACTTAAGCTCAACAAAGTACTTCATGAGCGTGATCAAGCACTTGTTCAAGGTGTGTCTGGGGACAGGGGCTGTGCCAGAGCCCTATACATCACCAGCTGGACTTCTCTGGGCTAAGTGCTGCCTGTCCTGGGCTCTGCCCTGACCGAGTTGCCTGGCACAGCCTCAAGCAGTGGTACCTGGCCCACTTCAAGGCAGCACCGTGCCTGTGAGCATCAAGGAGCAATTTCCACTGGTGGGGACAATGGGTGAGGTTGTTCTTGCTGCACCTTTTGGATGATGCTCTCTGGTGATGCAGCCCCTTGCAGGCCACTCTCCACGCAGCTCTTGGGTTTGGGGTGGCAGAGTATCTTCAAAAACCTGCATCGGTTCTTTCTCCTGCTCTACAGTGCAGCCCTACAACATTTCTAGGGCAAAAGCAAAGGTTTCTGTGCAGGAAGATGAATTAACAGAGCAAAGGTTGGGGTCAGAGCGTGAAACCAGCCTCAGCACCAGGGAAATGTTAGGCTTAATTCTGGGCTTATCAGCACCTTGGAAAGATGCTTTAACAATGTCTATAGAATGCCCTGAGGAATTCAGGATTTAACTGCTGCAGTGAGAGCCTGCTTCACTAATCAGACAATTTAATCCCATTTACGGTGTAATATATATTAATAAAAAAGAAAAGAAATTAAAGATACCCAAGGGATTCTTCAGCACAGCATTATATTTTATTAAATATAACATCAAAGTTGGAAGTTACTGAGAATCAAGATAATGTGTTACACTAAATTGTGATCAAAGAAAGAGATATAATGATATAATTTTAATAATCCATAAGCACCAAAGCTGGAACACTTTTATGTATTTATGAGGTTAGACACATACACAGCCGCATACATTAACTGTGGTTGTGAACTGAGATGTATATTATAATACATGTTTCTAAAAATTTTATCACATCCATAACCACCATCCAAACTGGTAAACAAAGCTTGGGGAAAGGCTTCAAAAGGGATCTTAAACTTTTTCTACCACAAAGTTTAAGACATCAGTGTTGCTGTGAGCAATGACTAGCTAGGATGTTTTATATGGACAATTCATAGTCCTCTTCTGAAATGTGAATAGCAGACATTTAAGTATAGAAATCTGAAAAAACATGGTGTCACATCCTCTTGACACTAAGAGAGTATTTGGGTAGAACCAGGAAAAGAAGTTACATTCTCCAATACCCCAATTAGGGAAAGACAAAGATGTGGGTTTATGCCATGATATGCAATAAGAAATAAAAAGCTACTGTAGGATATGCAGTTGCCAGACTGGCTCAGAGGAATAGTTTGACACATTATTTCTGCTGGGAGAAAAACCTGAGCACAGGAGCCCTGTCTGCCTTTGTAACTTCCTGGAGCATGTGTGTGTTACAGCTCAGTCCTTTGGTGGGGGTCACAGTTCTGTGTCTTCTGAGAGTGCACCCCAATCACCCTGGGGCTTGAGGGGCTATTTGCTTTCTCTTGGGTGTCTCGAGCACCCAAAAAGGCTTCAATTCTGCCACTGGTTTCTAGTTTATACATATTTTTTTATTCTTTTCACCAAGGAACACATCATGAGCCACACTCCATATCATGGCATTTTAAATGAATAAAGAGATACTTTTTTTAGGTCTGTGCTGCAAAACAATGCAGTGCTGCTGCATCTCAAAAACATCTGGGTGTTTTGTGAAATTCTCTGCTCTTCATCAGACAACACATGTGCTTTCATGTCATTCTGCTAGAACAGGCCTTGGGTGGTTTGCACTGGAGAGAAGAGTGCACAATAGGGAGTAACATCTGAATAGGATGACAAAGAAATAAACTCTTTAGTGTTGTAAATCAGTAAAAGATTTTACAAAGCATTAGAAAAATTACTGCTATAAATGATTTTATATATATATATATGGGCACAGAGCAGGAAGTCTGTAAGTCTGTGTGTATGTGAGTGTATATAAAAATGTCAGAAATATGAATTATTTTTTTAAAAAATTGAGTCTCAGGGTAAAACTCTGACCTCATTGAGTTCATTGACTGATTAATGTCTGTGGGGCCAGCATTTTACTCCATCTGGATAATAGCACATAAAGTTTACTGATTTAAAACTATTTGGGACACATATTTTTCTAGACAGAAAGAAATTTCTAGTCTGTGGTATTTTCAGAATCTGTCCTGTTCTCAGTCATTTGCATAGGACTTACTCTATTTGCTCTTGTTTAGCAGATATAGCATTTTCTTATTTTTAAACATTTCAAGAATGACTTTATCACTGTTTCAGAATTTCAAAGTAGCTTTTGCAACTTGCCCTTTCCAGATATGGTTCTATTAATCATTAAAATAAACTTGATATGTTCTATTGAACTAAGTGTAGGCTTATTTATGACACTGAGGTCATAAATATTTTTATCTCCATAAATGTTTTTTTGTCTCTCCTAAATATCTTGGTCTCCATGATGAGGCAGGAAAGTTTTGTGTTGCTGGAGTGATGAGGGAAGCTGTCAGTGCCCATGGCAAGGTCAGTGCTGCAGGGTGTCTGGGGAGGAGATGGGGGGTTCACCACGGGCACATAAAGCTGCTCAGCAAGAAAAAGTATGTGCTCATCTGTGTAACTTGTATTAAAATGGTACTGCCTGAAAAAACAAATTAATCTATTGTCCTGACCAAGAAATTCAAGTACATTTCTTGGACGAATCAAAAAGGTGGGAAGACTTGAGCCATCGTGCTGACTGAGGCCAGTATTAAAAGCACTTGCATCTAGCTTGTGCAAACTCCAGCAATGTTACAGCCCTGCAGAGCTGCCTCTGCCTGCAGATGTGTTTTCCCTTCTTTTTGAGATGACTCAATTTGCTGGATGGGCTGGACAAGGAACAAAACTCACCAGTATGGGGAATGCAGAACGGGAGGGCTTGGTAGGAAACAGGGTAGCCCCTGGTACCCAGACAGGGATCAGAGAATCCTTTAGGCTGCAAGAGATGGTTAACCTACACTGCCAAGTCCACCACTAAGCCATGTTCCTAAATGCAACAGCCACACATCTTTTAAATACCTCCAGTGATGGTGGCTCAGCCCTTCTCTGGGGACTCACCAGTGGCTCCACCACCAGTTCCCACTGTAGCAGTGGGGGCCGTGCACATTTTATAGCATCAGGTATAGCCCCATTCAGTCAAACCTCCTGCCTCCTTAGGGAAACCTGCCTGTGAAAAACCTGATGGAATGGGGAGCAGGAAGGGGCAGCCCAGAGAGGTCTGCTTAAGCACTGGGCACACCTTGGTTTGCATAAGCACTGGCAGAGTGGCAGGACTGATGTGCTGTGTGCACAGGGTGAGTGAATGTGAGGTGTGCTCTGTGCACCAGCCTCTCCTTATTCCAGGCCCCTCCTACAGCCAGGCAAGCACCTCCAAGCAGGAGAGGGAAGCAAGCAGGTGCCCCCTTCCCAAGTCACCCCAGCTGAGCTGATTCCCTGGAAGGCACAGCTTGCAGCAGCAGCATGTGGCAGCACAGCCTCGTCTCAGCCTCAGACAGTGGAAAGGTGTCAGGTCATTTTAGAGACAAGATAGGAACATTCCTCCTCCTAGCCTGGGTTGAAGTAAAATGTCATGGTGTGACTTCAGCTTAATAATTGTTTTAGCTCTTCAGTGTATGACAGAAGGGCAAAATATGGAACCTTCCTTTAGTGAACAATTTCTTTCAGCTGGGTTTTCCTTTGTTCTGCCTCAATTCAGTGACAGCCAGCAGCTCAAACTTGGTTGCACAGTAGTCCTTGCACAAACAACATGTGTTGAGGCAATCACTGTGGCTGTATTCAGCATGCTTATTCAGCTTTCTTTTAATAAATCCAGTAATAGACTTTCGGAGGCAATGAAGGGAAAAGAATAATTTGGAAACAAAGCTGTTGAAAAGAATACAGTGTGCACACAGTGGAGAAGAATGTGATTTTGGAAGTCTGTGCAGCTGTTTTATTTCTTTAGAGGATTTTAATCAACCTGATTACACAGGGAAGCAAAGGGATTTTGAAAACAGTGTGGTGATAATCAGTCACTGGAGAAAACAAAAGGGTGTTTTCCCTTTCTCGTATCACTTTTGTTTTCTCCCTTTCATGTGATTTTGCAAGTAAAAATCTCATATTAGCTCATTTTAATTAAAAAACTATCCATGCTGGGGTTTTCCTAGAGAAGCAATTTCAGTCTTTGTCCACTAGATCATTTAATCAAAGATATCCTAATTGCTTTCAAGATTGCTGTGGCTGCACCAATCTGACTGCCATCAGTGTAATGGCTTTCCCAGTGGATTGGAAAAAAAATGTGTAGTTGGACATGAGCCCATCCTTTCAAGTGGGATTAGCTGCTCTGCTTCAGTCTTCCCCTAAATTTCAGGGTCTGATGTTCTTCGCTGTTCCTTCTGTACTTACTGCTGCAAAGCAACCCTCCAGTGCCATCTTCAGAGTTGAGCTGTACAGGCACAGCCAAGGAAGGAGTGTGGAGTTGCTCTCCTGCAAAAAGCCACGTTTTTGTGTCACTAGGAGCAATTGGTGTCTGGCTAAAACTGGGGGTGACCCTACACTATTCCTCACAAAAGTGAGCTCTGTGTGTGTAGTGGGAATTTGCCACCTGTCCCTCCTGGCAGCACAGCCCAGCCACACAGCACTGCCCACAGGGCAAGCAGGGCCACTCACCACACACAGCAGAGTGGCTTCCATGGTCACCAGAGGATCAAAGGGCCTTCAGGAAAACCCCTGTGAGCAAATGACCACAGAAACCTTGAAAGATGTGGGACTTCATGTGCTGCTTTGCTGTCTGTCTCCTTTTACAGGTGAAAGAGTATTTGGTGCTTCTGTCCAGAGCCCAGAGCTGTCCCTGTACACACCATTTTTGCTCACATTTTGCATTATGTGTTAGATGGAGAAATTTAGATCAAAATTTAGCTTTGTCTTTTCTGTCAATAATAATGGTCCCCTAAATAGTTTTTTCAACCCTCCCCCAATGTCAAAACATCTCCAAGCCTAACTTTTAGTCAACTGATTATTGAAACTTATTCAAGTGTTAACATTGCCAGAAGCAAAGGAAGTCCAAAAGAAGAATGCTTAGCTTGGGTGGGGGAAGACTTACATCAGCATGGAGACCACAGGCACACTGTTCCCCTCCTCCCAGCCCTGTACCACGCCCAGGTCACCAGCAGCACCAAAGCACCTAAATCCTGACCAGCTTCCAGGCCAAAGGAGGCAAAGGGATGCTTTAGCTGGAGAGAAATTACTTCACACGTGAAGATACCAGTTTCCATAATGGCTGATGTGGGTTTGATGCCTGCTGTGGAAAACTTTCATTTTAAGGCATTTCCAAATCAGTTTGTTGGGCTGGTGTTATATTAATTAAGAGCTCAGGAAACAAAGACAGATCAAGTGGAATTGAAGGTGGCAGGTCCTTCTCTTGGGGTGATTGAGTGAAATGTCCTTGGTATGAAGAGGACAGTGGGGGAGGCTCCAAAAGAAAGAAAGAACAAAAACATGGAATGTCTCCTCATCAAAGTTAAATTTCCCAGGATTTCAAAGGACATATGAAGACTGCCTAAGGCTTGCTTGGTTCTGCTGGTGAAGAGGGTGGATATCACCAACAGATAAAACTATCTAGAAGGAACATTTGTTCCCAAAAAGAGCTGGCTTTGGTTTATGTGAATATAAAAATAATTTCCAGATAATTCTTGCAGGAATTAACTAACAGTAATTATGCAGTGCAGGAACTGGAATAGCCCTGCTCTCTGTGTCCAGACAACATGTGAGAGGTGTGATTCAATTGCAGTAAAACAGAGATGTGAAACTGTTACAGAGCTCTTGAATGCTTGAATGCAAGAGGACATAAACAAAAATACCACATGAAATGAGAAACAGAAAGGTGATTCTCAAGCTGATTTGGGAAGAAGCTTCAGGAGCTAGAAAAATATGCATGATGTAGGAAATCAAGCAGTTGATAGTCATATGATCCCAGAGGAGCATTTCACAGGAGAAATGTTCAGCAGTGCAAGAGGGGATGTATAAATGGACAGCTTCAAAGCAATGTACCATTTTAAGCCATAACACAGCTGAAGACCTGCTGCCTCAGATCCCTGCCAAGGAAAGACAAATGTGCCTGAAGGCAGGGATTAAAGGAGGAGCCAGGCTGGCTCTGGGCATTAATATACCAAGCAGCAGATGTGTGACTAGGTGTGTGCTTTGTTTTGTGGAAAATGAAGCGAAACTGGAACACTTTTCTTATGCACCATTTAAAAAAGTTCAAAAGAAAGAGAGATGAAACATTTGCCATCAAAGGGAAGAGGAGATAACTTTGGCAAGACAGCTGATATGAACTCTACTCTTAGCTCTACAGCAACAACCTCAGTCTAGAAAGTTACTTAAAAAAGGCAAGGGTCCAGTCCTCCTTTGCTAGTCACTGTTTTCTCTTTCTGCTATTTTCACACATGATCTACTTAATGAGAAAATGACAAAAATTTCTCACAGCAAAGACAGTGAATGTGTTGAACCCTCTGTGAGTAACAGCACAGTTCACATGAAATATTAAAATTAATACCTGGCAGCAAACTAAAATCTTTAAAGAAAAGATTGAAAACACATTTCATCTTCTTCTAGGGTTATAATATTTGCATGTTGAAAATACTGTAGTCTTTCATTGTGAAGACTAAGAGGACATCCCTACTGTTTTCCAACATTTTGTTTGCACCAAGATTCTCCTAGGAAGTCCTGAGAGAGCAAGGATTTGAAGGACACAGTGCTTTGCTCCTTGAGTGTGTGCTCAACCATGGCTTTTTTTTTTTTTTTGTAGCTCTCTTACATCTTTCCAAACAATGATGTTACATACTTGACAGAAGTGGTAGCACTCCCAGTCATCTGCATTCAATTCTGGGCAGCTTAATTAATTAAGTGCTTATCTTAATGTGCCATGGGAAAAAAACCCAAAAGTTTTCTTAGTGAAAATAGATATAATGTGCTGACAGAATGTTAAAATTCAATTGGTAATTAGTGTGCATTGAGAGTTAAAAATATTGAGCAAGAGTCAGAGTTTGGGAAAGGATTTGAGCTGCACAGTAACAGAAGAGAACAATGATTTTTCTTTCTCTGATGTCTCTCATAAGATGAATTTTCTATGAGCTGTTTTCTTTGAGGATTTGAAATCTTCCATGGAGGGTTGGCATCTGGAAACTGTCCCTTTCCATCTGGTTGCTGTTTCCAAGTCTTGAAAGATTTAGATGCATTTGGCTATTTCCCTTGTGTGAATGGCTCCAGTGAGTGCTTCCTCAGAGTTTTTCTTACTACCAGTGGGATGAATTTATCTAATTTACTGTAATATAAGAAAACAGAGAGATACCCAAAAAGCAGCTGGGGTTTAAATTAGCAAGGGAGGTGAAAGGCAAGAAGAAGGGCTTCTATGACAGAATTGAAAAAGAAAAACTAAAGAAATTGTGAGCCTGCTGCTAACAGCTAGAGATTGAGGGAGAAAGGACACAGAAAAGGTAGAGGCTGTCAGTGCCTTTTTGCTGTGCAAGATTTCCTGCTCTTGAGGCTGGTTGCAGTCTCCTCTGCAGCAATACCCAGAGGAGAGGAAGACCGAGTAAGGGAGCACTCAAGCAAGTTGGGCATATAGAAACCAGATGGTCCAGATGGGCTGCCTCTAGGAGCACCAGAGGAGAGGGCCAGCATCACCATGTGGCTGTTCTATGGCAGCTTTGCAAGGACATGACAAAGGTATGGGGCAAGTCCTCTTGGAGGTCCTGTCCTGGTGCTTGAATGTCAAAAGGGTGACAGGAAACAGCCTGCATGGAGTTACCAGCAGCATTCTGTGCCTGATGAAACTGGTTGTGTTCCGTGACGAGACAGATGACTCACAGCAAGGTGATGGCATATATTTTGGTGGATGTGGTGGATGCTGTATATTTTGACTTTAAATAAGCAATAAGGTAAATGGATAATTGCCTGGACTATCTATCTTAAAGGATTTTAATCAGTAGTACAATGTGCATCCAGTTGATGGTCACTGTGATAATCCTCAGGGATTCTTATTTGAGAGAGGACTGTTTTATGTCTTTAAATTACCTGGATGATAGGACAGTGTGCACTACTCAGAAAATCCACAGCTAATGCCAAGCTGTGTAAAGGGAGGTCTTGCTAGACGGGAGCAACACATTGTTTGGACCCTCATGAAGTTCAGAAAAGGAAAGTGCAAAATCCTGCACCTGGGAAGGAGAATCCCTGCAAACATCTGGAGCAGGGACTAAGTGATTAGCAGGCAACCTTGCAAAAAGGGAGCTATCAATTTGGTGCTAAAAGTTAAATATCAGTGAGCAGAGTATCCCTGTGGCAAAGGCAGGCAGCCACATCCAGCAGAGTTTTAGCAAAACCATACCAAGGAGGTCCAAGGAAATGACTCTTCCCATATATCTGGCATTTAGGAGGTTGTGATGAAAGTTCTGCATCCAGTTTTGGGCTCCCCACTGCAAAAAAGATATGGATCTTCTGGGGCAAGTTCAGCTCCAGTCCCCAAGATGCTCATGGGGCTGGAGTACATGATTTAAAGGAAAGGCCATGGGGACTGTTTATTTCAGCAGAAGACAAGGCAAAGGGGAGAATTTATTGCTATTCACAGCTATTAAATGGGAGGGTAGAGAAGACAGACTCAAACTCTGCTCATAGGGATGCAGTGAAAAGAGGCAACAGACAGAAACAGGGATAAGGAAAATTATTAACAAATTGTAGGAAAAAAATCTTCAGTGTGAGGAAGGTCAAACAATGACACAAATGCCCATGGAGATTTTTGAGTCTCCATCCGAGGAAACACTCCAGCTCAACAGGAGGCAACCTCAGCAACCTGCTCTAGCTGGTCCTGCTTTAGAGGGAAGTGGACTGGAGGCTGTCAGAGTTCTCTTCAAACCTGGAATACTCTGCAATTCTCTGTCAGTGTTAATCCTACAGTAGCAACACTGTGTGAAACTAGAAGATGGTGGATTAGAGACCACAATAAAAGCAACAGTTTTGGTTAGCCAGTTTGGGTATGGGGATGTTGAGAACATTTGAGACGCAAGGGTAGACACAAGATCACTTTGGGATTTGTTTGGTGTGGTGAGCCAGCCATGCAAGAGGTGGGGGAAGGAACTAATGCAGGGACAAACATAATTATAAAAGCCTTATGGAAAATCCTGACTTGTTGCATGGTAAATGCTGTTCATACCAAATTACAAGTGAGAAATGTGAGCACCTTTTTTGAGAGAGATCAGCATTTCATGGTTGTTAACTGTCTCCAGAGTGAGCTAGACTAGAGTGCCACATCCAATGCTCCAGAGTTCTGAAAGCAGTTCAACCTGAGACCTCAGCAATGCCTTTGAGAAAGGGCAGGTGGTTCTGTCAGCTGTTCTCCTCTACAAATAGTAGTTCCTGGAAAAAACATGAAGTGAACAATCTTAAAAGATGGCTTATTTAGTGAAGTAAATCTTTAGAGCTGTCACTTGAACAATGATTTTTAAACTGACTTTGAGCAATATTTTGTGTGACAATTTATTGTGAACTGACTGTAGTCAGTGGCTTGCTCACTATAGCTCTAGCTCAGATGTTTGCCTTGTATGTCCAGTAAGACACCCAGCCTGTTCTCTGTGGCCTGAATGTAAGGTGCTGATCCTCTTCTTCAGCAAGAGGCTCTATTTAGTACTGCATTTCTCAAAAAATGCATTTTCTTCAATTAAAGAATAGAATAATTAATTGTGGGAATTAATTTTAATGATAAAAATGAATATTTCAACATATTATTAGTTATTATCTAGAAAATGGCTGGCAGCATCATGCTACAGGCCAGTTTTTCCTAGTTTCGACTTGCAAAATTCTTCTTTCAGAGAGACTGCTAATGCCCTCTGGCCATTACCACATACCTAATAATTGCAAAGGACATAACTACCTGAATTCAGGATTTTCTTTAGTGAAGTTATTATTCTCAGAATTCTGAAAGGGCCATGTCAAATGGAATCCTAGAATGCTTTTCCACAAAAATGTGGAACATGTTTTTCACAAACACATTTTTATCAACAAGCTCACAATACTGTTTCTGTCTCTGCTGACATATATTGATTCTAAGTTTTCACGACAGAGATAATGGCTTTGCTAATGGCACAGTAAGTATCACAATTTACATCAACTATAAATCATCAAGTATCTCAAGAGCATATAATCTACCATGAATGAGGTGAGTCATAAATTGTGTCCCTGTTACATTTGTGTCAGTCCAGCAAACCTTATCTCTCTCCAGCCTACACATTTCAAAGTGCTACAGGGGAGGGAAAAAAAAAAAAAAAGAAGACAACAGATAACTCCAGAAATTGATTTTCAGACATGTAACAACACATCTAAGAAAGGTCAGCAAGTAAACTCCTTCTTGGGGTTGTTGGCAAAATAAAGTAAAATTGACACAAACTAAAAAAAAGGGATGACAGCAAATTCATCTACCTGCCCCCTGGCTTTCAAGAACACCTGTGGCCTCATCATTTAGGAGGAAAGACATGGAGCCCAGAGAGCACCACACACATGGACAGTGCATTCAACTGGACTTCTTGTCCTTCATCATGAGCAGGTGGTTTTGCCTTCAGAAGTGGTGTGGCACTTTCCCAGCCTGCTGAGGAATAGCTCTTCATGGGCAGCCAAGGAGTTAATTTAAATGATGTTCTCTCTGCTCCCTGCCAGGAGGATGAGCCTTCCTGGCCAGGGCAGAGGGCAGAGTGACCTGCTGCTGCAGGGGACACAAATGCAGACTCAGTTTTACATAACTGCTTTAAAAAATTTAAGCTGTCATGCTTCAAGACACAAGGGCTTGACTGAATGGAGGGAGCAACCCTTGGCCAGTTTTCCACTAATCTCTGGCCTGACTGCAGTGCATTTTATCCATGTCTGACATTGACAAATGCAGTGATTGTAAAAACCTTCAGTAAAAGGAAAAGATTGAGGTAGGCAAGCAAATTAACGCAAAGTTTAGCCTGAAGCTGTTCTCTGCTAAATGTTTTCCTGGCTGGGGCAGGGCTGCTTTGGGACTCAGGACTGTGTCTGTGATGTGCTTTGCCATGTGGGCTTTTAAATAAGCTGATACCTAGTCAGACTCTGGTTTTCTCTCCCATGAGCACCAGTAGCTGTGAACACTTGCCAGGTTTTCTCTTTGGACTTTCAAAAGTTGTGCCTAAATTGTCTTAGTACATAGACTGTTTTATGTCAAAGAAGTCACATTGGGCTCTTGGATAGTTTAGCTTGGGGGAAAAGAGATCAGTCTCCTGGACCGTTTCTCAGATTTGAAAACATGAATTGCTCTCTTTTTGAGGGTTTATACAGGGCCTTGATGGAATTAGCAATGCAAACCTAATTTTGCTGGTCATGGGATCATAGATTGGTTGGTTTGGAAGGGACCTTAAAGATCACCTGGTTCCACACCCCTCCCCAGGGATGCCATCCTAGGTCAGGCTGCCCAGAGCCCTCTCCAGCCTGGCCTCAGTCAGAAGCAGAACCAAGCCTGACTGCATGAGATGCAAAAACATTTGACATGAATAACATGAAATGAGTCTACAGAACAGGCAGCTGCAGCACTGCCTTTCAGCAGGGCTTGAATGGCAATGCAGAGTATTTTTAAAGGTTTTGATATCTCTCTTAGGGCAGGAAAACCCAACAGATCACCCCACAAATGCTGCAGAAAAATTTCCATTTAATTGTGGAGGATCCTCATTCCAGTGAGCAGGCTTTACAATACTCACAGCTAACTCTAACCTCGACAGGAACTGACCTAAGGTATTTTACAGAATAGGTATTGGCAAATAACAGTTCTATTTCTTGATCTTTGCAAGTATCTCATTTTATTTAGAAGTATTTCTAATAGATGATGGAGCTGTTAGCAGAGATTGTGCCTATGAAATATTTACAAATAACAACACTGACATAAATTAAATTGTTGAATAATGAAAGAATTGGCTAATTTTGTGCAATGTCCTTTGCTGAGACTCAGCAAAGCCATGAGAACCCCAGGTCACCCTGACTTCCTCAAAGTCATCAAAAGATTCTTTGTTATTCTGAGCAGAGATGCACAAGGCAGCATATGGAATTTTCTTATTTTATGTAATGCAGACAATTAAGCAAAAATAAAATTCTGAAGACAAAAGTAAGCATAAAATCCCTTCACATTGGACCTAGTCATTTCTTTGGTGTTCATAGGACTTTTGTTTGGGTGGTTTTTTGTACCTAAATTGTGCCCATATAAAGTTGCTGTCAAGCATAAGATTCTGGAAACAACAATTACTAGCTAAAATGCCTTCACATTCACAACTATGTCATGTTGGAGTTTTCTGCCCTGCTGTGTATGTTCCATTTTAGAGTAATAACTCATTTTCTTTGTAGGTGAATAATATATGAAGTTTAATATTTGAATAAACCCTCACACTGTAAAATAAGGTACATTTTGAAATGTTTTACTCTTAAATAATGATATAATTAGTATGTGTTTCATTACCAAGCATCTCAAGAACCTTCCCATTCCTCTTCCTAAAGAGCATTCAATCAAATTCAGTTATTCTGGGGCTGGAACAAGAGAATTACTGTGAAGAGTTTATGATGCAGTGTGCTTGCTGTGGAATGGGAGCATCCCAGCTCCACAGAAAGCCATAGATAATTAAGTGGAACTAGTTTCTTCCTAAAATGTTTTTCATCTATGAAACATTGTAAAGAAGTTTCTCATTTCTTCCATGAGCATTTGAAAAGAGCTAAAACTTATTTTCTTTTTCTCCAGTAAGATAGTTTTAGGCATAGGCTATATTTCAACAAAATATTTTCATAAAGAAACTAAAAAAGGTTTTGTAATAGTTGCCACCTCCTTTTGTTTCATCTTCAAAGTAAAATACTTTGCTTTGGGCCTTTACCCAAAGACTGCTATGATAAATAATAGATGCTATACTATTTGTAAAATGTTATTTTTATGTTCTTTCTATTTCAGCAAATCTTACCCTTTTCTAATATTAAGAAATCTCTATGGCTGGTACCTAAAAATACTTTTCAGCATAAGAAAAATGATCTTCACCTTCCTTTACTCATTTGTTCTCAACTAAACTTTATGGGTACATTTCAGCTGAAAAGAAATTAATACCATGATTGGGACTCCCTTGATATCACTGCAAAGAGCTGTGGGTGGGAGGAGGGAAGATGAGAAAGGCATGATTGCCTCTCTATAAATAGAGTATTCTCTGCACATCACCGATTCTGCACAGATGTCTGTCAATGACATAGATGCTACTTCAGAAATTACTTAAACAGCTGCATTCCAGGCAGAGAGGAGACAATTAAACAATGGATTTGGGTTGCAGAAACATTTTGTTTGGTGACAGATGTTTGGATACAACCTTACTTTTTATTTATAGAATAAATGCTCTTAATCTGATTTCCTTCTATTATTCTCCAGAAGAACATAAGTAATTATTTTCTAGGTGAATGTGTTTACATCACAATCTAGGAGCAAATAATTTATTATTTTACTAGGAGAAAATAAATGCCTTTGAAGTATTGTTTGACTAATCACAGACTTTTTCTCTGGGCAAAGGACATGCACAATGTTTGATGAGGGAATATATAAAATCTGAAACAGAGGAGCTACTTTCCAGTAAGAGGATAGACTTCTCAGGGAGAGCTTTTCTAGGAAGTGTTGGCCTACCCCCTTATAAATGTCCCTTATGGGCATGTATACTCTACTTTTCAAGTTTCCAAACCCAAATTTCCTTCTGGAAATTCACTGGCAAATGAGAAAGTCCTAGATTGTTATATAAACACTTTTGCCTAGAAAATAATTATTTACATAGTACTAAACTGCTGGATAACCTGGGGGATCTTGAGACAAATTCAATATCCAGGATTATGCAGTCAGATTAGGTAATATACCTGTGCCTCCTTGTCTTAAAATCTATGCATCCTTAATAATTCCCTGGGTAACTTTCAGATTTTGGTAAGGAGTGCCACCGTATCCTGTTTAAATGAAGTTGCTTAGAAATCCCATGGATAAGGATTTACCTTGCTTGGTAGTTCCCTCTCATTTCACTGACTGAAACAAACCTGCAGGACTCCTAAAGGGACTGGGACTGCACAACTTATTTTTGCAGCTATTTCAAAAATATTTGAAATATTTTCCCTTTTTTTCCCTACTTCACTAAATGATCTGTGTGGCTGTTCCAGATCAGCTGGCGTTAACGGGGCTGGGGTGAAGGAGACAAGGCAAGGAGAACTGGAAAGACATTTCAGGGAGTGTGGGGAGTGAGGCAAGTGCAATGGGAAGGAACCAGCTGCTGTGATTTAAAGCATGTGGTACGCGTTAGCATGGAGCAAAAGACATGCAGGGAGCTAATGGAGCTGGTGTAGTCTCTCAGAGGAGATAATTTAGGTATGCTGGATATCTTAACTACCTTTTTTAAAGCCTGGAATAATTTGGTTCTAATTTCTGAGCAGGGACTTGAAGCCCACACAGCAGTAAGTCTTGATAATTATTAATTATATGTTTTCCTTCTGTTCTCTGTGACCTTGTTTGTAAAAAGCTGTGTGGTAAAGCTAGAATATTAAGAGGCTTATAGGCTCTGGCATGCCACCTAGCTGGAAAAGATGAAAATATTTAAAGAACAAATGGATAACAGAAAGTATAACCTTGAACTCGCACCCTTTCAGAAGCACTGAAATACAAAGCACACTCATCCAGCACACGTGGCCACTGAAGGAATGGGGAGGTGATTTCCTGGTTTAGCTACAATTAAAATTCACACACACTCTCTTCTTTCAGTCTGATCCAAAATGGCATCAGGCAGCAAAGGCACAAGGCAAACTACCCATGGAGGAAATTCTAGCTTGAAAACCTGCCTTAGCTTTACCCCAGCAGACATGCAGATACCACGGCTTTGGCTCAAGCATTATGGTGCATCACAAAAGGAGAGACTCAAGTACCACAGGGAACACAAATTAAATCTGAAGAGGAGAAACTTTGGAATGAAATCTTTGTTTCTTCTTCATTACCTTGTAAGGAGCTGCACTTTCCTCCTACTACAAGATCACTGTGTTCCTTTCCAAATGTGGATATTAGTCTAAAAATCCAGCCTTCTGTAAATGTGAACACTTATGTTGTTTTTTTTTATGTTGTACATACCTGAAGAAGTGCTGCCCTCTGATCTTTCTCCAGTTGCCTGACTCCCCACAAAATATTTTTTTCCCACTAGAAATAATGAAGCAACCTGACTTGCAATAGGAGAACAATGTTCTGGAAACCATGAGAGCAGCCTGTTTGCCACAGTTACAAAGGACAAGTATTATAGGACCTGGATTTCAAGATGCTGATAGATATTGCTTTTGACTTGAATGAAAAATCAATTGGCCTTCAATCCTTGACACACTCAGAAGAAAACACTTCCTTACTAGTTCTGTCATGGTTTTCTTCCACAGGTTTGGAACATAATGTCATTCTCTGCACAGCAGCTTGCACAGTAAGAGAATTACTGCAGCGTTGTTGGGAAGTTCAGACCTGAGAAGTTCAGACACTTTAAAACCAGTGTCCACCCACACTTTACTTTTAACATTATCACAAAACACAAGCACAGAATATCTCAAATTAAGTTAGAAATCTCAAACCTTTTATCTCCTGCCCTTTTGACTAACAATGTAATGTGTTCCTCAGCTCTTTAAATTGCAGAAAGTGGTCTCACTAGAGTAGCAAACTCCTGTGATAAAGATTTATGCGCAATTATGACTAGCAAGAGAGGAAAAAGAAAGGCAGTTTTATGAAAGCATATATGTCTGCTGCAAAAGGTAGATTGGACTGGGAAAGTTAGGACAATAATAGAACACCCTTTCTTGCCTGAATAATGTTTTAAAACACATCACTGTTTGCAGTTTGATGAGTGCTGCAAAGAGGTCACAGCTGGCTCTCAGAGCTGCTTGGAAAATGGAAGAAATTATGAATTCTTCTGTCATCTTCCCTTGTCTTTGTCCATTCCACATTTGTTTTATCTCTCATTTGTGTCTTTTTGGTGAATCTATTGATGTATTCTCTCTGAGATAAAGAAGTGCCTTTTTGCTTGACTGGGCTCTCTAGTGAATATGGAAGCAATGTATCACAAGACAGCTGTGGCTCAGCTCCTCCTGGTGAGGACTAGAGGCTGAAAACTGGTTAGCAGAACCCCCAGCATTCAGATTAAGGGCTGCCAAAAATTTCTGGGAAAGACTTGGAATAGATTGCACCTGGGCCACTAATTTTATTTCACAAATGAAGTAGCTCGCTAACGTGAGAAAATAAAGGTTGTGTGAAAATAGGAAGAGATGGTTTCTGTGCTCACCTGCTGCCAGTCAGCTGGGAGGCATCACCCCCAAGTACAGGTCCTGCAGCTTGTGAGTACATTGAGGGCAAAAGCAGAAGAACAGGAGGAAAATTTGGTGCCAAGGAAAAGCAACAGTCTTGAAACTCTCTTTGGTGCCACAAATGGTACCTCAGTCCCCAGGAGAGCAACAATAATTAATGGACTTGTGTGGATGGGCTTTAGAGAGTTGGAAATCCCTGGGAGAGCCATTCTCCAGGCAGAAAAACTCAATCTGCAGTACACAATCAGGCCTGATTGTGTGTATTTCCAGATCAGTTCCAACAGGGACTGCAGAGGCACGGCTGCTTTACCCTTTATGGTGCTTTGTAGGAACACAGACCACCTGGAGCATCAGGTCTGCTCTTCCACTGCTTTATTTTTAGGGCCAGTAATCACTCTGTTCCTTAACAGCTGCTCAGAAGTCTCCAGTGATTCACATTTTCTTGTCTGGCTCTCTATTTAGTTATATCAAAATTTAGAAGCCCAGGTGCACCTTAGGCAAAAAGAAAGTAATTAATACCTCATTACTTTATCTGCAATCCCTGCACCCAATGTTATGCTTCCAATTAGATGTTCTTATACTACCCTTAAGTGCTAGAAAAGTTAGCATGTTATGGAAACAAAGCAGCTGGCCCAGAGGAAGATTTACCCTGTTGTAGTTTGTTATCATGGGGGTTCTGCTCCATTAAATTGAGCATGCAGTGAGAGAAATGACCATATCAATAAACCAGAATTCCTCAGAAGAGGGAAAACACCAACAGACAGCAACCTCTCTGCATAGTGCACACTTCTGGCTGCAGTCCCCTGGAATCAGATGGATTTTGAACATTGTGCCCCAGGTTATTACATCTCCAGGATATGTCAGGGATATTAGTGGTGCTTTAAATCTTGGGCTTTTTATGGCAATATTGGACAGAATCACATACCTGTCACCTGACAGTATAAGACAGAGTTAAGGATAATAAGATCTTTTCTTAATGTTCTCTTCAGGTCCTAAAACCTTAGTGATTTTTTTTTTTTAACTAAAATTAGTATGTTACTCTTTTGGTAGTATTTGAGTGCCTATAACTATAGCTGTCCACAGCAGAATAAGGGTTATTCAGCTTTAATGAGTGATTCAGCCAGGAGAAATTGGGTGTCTTTAACCAAGCTGATGCCAATGAAAATCTACTTTTAAAATAAATAAGCCATTTACATCAGTGAAGAAAGATGGCAGTGTAGTGAGAACATATTGTCTGGCACAACCAGACCCTATTATGTCTGGCTATAGCCTTCCAATGGTATTATGAGCAAGACAGCTAATCACTCAGTGCCTCTGAGTGATTATATAGCTCCTCAACTCTATAATAAAGGGGATAATTCTTTGCCAGGATATTCCTTTTCTCTTGTCTCTTCAAGGCATAGACTTCACCATGTAAGACCATCCTACAGGGTACTATTTTTACATCAGTAGTACCTTCAAATATGAAATGTAGGCTAAAGCATCTGGCTTGGTTGTTATTACTAGAATAAAATAAAGGCTATTTTAGATTTAGCAAGGGCTTCATCACAGAATACAGCTGCTAAACAAGTCATCCTTTTACAATTACTTTTGGATAAATATACACCAGATTTTAAATAATTCCAACTTTTGAACAAAGTGTGATGGCATTTTGCTAATGAAGGGTAAAATCCTCAAGTTTTATCTTTGTAAGGTTTCTTGTCTAGTTAGAATGTTATGGCATATGGTTCCTGCTGTATTAATTTAGGATATGCAAAGCATGGAGGGTGCTGGTGGTTTTTTGGGTCAGGCAGACTCATGGTACATCATGCCAAAAGCAGTGGAGGAGATGGGAGAGGCTTTCACACCTGGATGGGCCCTGGAGACATACAGGGACACAGAGAGGGCCTAAGTGGTTCTTTCAGACTGAGGGATGGGAAGGATAGATATTAAGTTCCCAACTTTATTAACTAGCTTTTACTAAGCCACAAACATTTTTTTTTTACCTTTGTAAATATTTTTACTTTGACCTGGCTGTTTGTGTATTAACTTGGAAGATTCAACAAATTCCAGTCTATGCTTGTAAGGCTTCAATCACCATGCTGTTCTAGACCTTTACCTTTTTTCTTGCAGCTAATAAATGAAGACCTTTCTGTTCTCCACAGGACTACACACATGTTTTTTAAGTCAGCACATTGCTTCTTTTTCTTTCCTGCTCCTGCAGTTCTTTTGTGGAAGACAAGATGCTTTGCAGAGAGCCACAGGGAGGCATATTTTCTTCCTAGATATGGCTTTAACATGCACAATCCAAGTAACAAATGCCATGTTTTGTATAATTGTGGGGAAGTGGATGTAACTAATGATCAATACCAAGAATTGAACAATTTTCCCCATTTGCAAGTTATCAATAAAAGGCCTGGGGTTTAATGATTTGTCTCTCATTCCAAACTAATCAATCAGGGAAGAAACTGTGAATTAGTCACAGCATATTCACTGAGCAGGTATGGATGCTGATGGCTGGAAACTTTACAGACAGGGAGAGGCAAGTCCAAGAGCCTTCAGGAGCATCAGAGGAGCAGCCGTGGCAGGGCGCTGCCAGGAGCTGGCCCCTGGGAAAATGCCAGCCAGATGAATTGTAAATCCTGCCTGCAAGGCTGTCTGCCTGGGGCAGTGGGGTGGCCTCACCACATGTCCAGTGTCAGAGAACCTGCCAGTGCTTTTGGGTAAAGAGCAGAGCAGAGAACAGCATCTCTGCTCTCCCACTACTTGCCTGTGGACTCAATTATTGTGTTACCATCAGACTACCTTTTGCATGTGCCTTCAGACCAAATTACCCTGAATTCCCTTGCTGCATGGGGTTTGAAATGCCCAGTACATTGGGAAACACCTGTCCCAGAGCCTTCCCATGGGATCTGCATGCTCCCAAAGAAGCAGCCTGGTTTTCCCCAGAAAGCTCACTATCCACAAGAGTATCTAAAATGTGTTCCTCTGCCTCTCTTCATTTTAAATGCAAGCAGCACTTTAACATAAACGCAAAAGTGTCCATTTGGTTTATATTTGCTCTAAAAATGCCTTACAGATCAATTCTTACAGGGGACTCTGCTGGGAAGCCACCTTCTGCCTCACTGTCCAGCCTCTCTTCAGGTCCATTCAAGCCAGATAGAAATACATAGGAACACACAAATCTTTATGTATGTGACTTTTCACCAAAATGGTAGCTCGCCTCGTTGGGTATGGCCCTTCCTCACCATACAGGAGATTTAGGGTTCATGATAGTTGCCAGGCTTGGAAGCTCCCAAGAGCTGTATTTTAAGATTTGAGATATCCCATTGACATGAGGCAGCTGTGGGCTGGCTGCTGGTACCTTATTCCTCAGCCTCAGCTGAGTGTGGGCCCTTGGGACTGATGGGGACCATGAGAACTGTGCAGCACAGCTGAGGCTTTCAGTGCAGGAGCCTCCCTGACTGATAAGGATTGTCATTTCTGTGCAAGTTCCCTTTAAGCATCTCTTTAGCATTGCCCTGTGTTTTAAAAGGTTTTAAGGTTATTCACATGACCAAGATCAAGCTGCTGGTACCATGTCTTTGCTGAATATAACTGTGCAGTCCTGCAGATAAATACCTGACTCCTCCAGCCAGGTAGGTTATCCCTCCATGTCTAATCTGTCACAAAGGATTTGTGTTTGAAAGCAAAATAACAGTTTTCTTACTTTATTTTTTATTACTGTAAATCTGTCAAAGGCAAGCAGCTGGAGCAGAGCTCAACATCCTGAGGGGAAAGAAGAAAAAATATTGTTTTGGTGGCAAACTCAGCTAAATTGTTTAAATTAAGAATTACTGATACTGTGGCCACTGGAGGTGCAAATGGTACACCTAGCTGCTTGAAACAAGTGAAATTGTACAAAAAAAAGAAGTGCATACATTCCCTTTTCTCTGGTGTTTGTAAAGCTAAGGTTTTCCTCAGCAAAGCACCATAGGCTATTGTATGATGAGGAAATGGTTGATTTACTCTTGAACCACAGGGCTGGGGTCTGAAGAAGCAATGGGCAGAATGTACCTGAGAAGGAAGTGGAGGCTGAACTTTCAGATTGTGTTATCCAATGCTTGTATGTGTGTGGCCTCCCAGGCAGGAAACCTCAACCTC